CTCTCCTCATCCACCAGAACCTCAACACTTTTTGACACTGAGCTGAGAACGGAGGTTCCCACGCTCCTCCTCGTCTACGCCGACAACACAGGAAACTCCTGGGCATCTAGACGACACGCTGGAGTCATCTTCCATCCTGGCCCCGGAGCGGGACCGCCCCTCTCCCTCTCCCTCACCCTGTCCCACCCCACCTCCATCTCCTCCACGCTCTCCACCGCCCTCTCCTCCTCCTGTACCAGTCCTGACCCCACATTTGCCCCTTCCAGCAGTTCGCAAAGCAGTGGAAGATGGCGAGGGAACGACGGAAGAGAGGGCCCACGGCAGTCAGGCCTCAGCAGACTCTTTCTGCAGGGTCATGGACCTTCTTGGGATGGGACACCGGCTCTTCGTCCCCAGGCTGCTGGCGGTGAGAGAGAGATGCAGGGATGGAGTGGTGGTTGACTGTTAGACCAGTTAGACCAGTTAGATCAGAGTGTTTTTAATGGGGGAAGAGTTTGTGGGGGAAATGGGAACGTGTCAGTTTATGAATTCATTTAGTAGTTGTATCTGTCGCTGTGATGCTTCGCTGGTCATGTTGCGTACATGCAGCTGACAGCACGAGCTGTTTGTTTGCTGCCTGATGTCACCGTCGCATTTATTCCATCTGCAGAAATGGAACAAAAAATAATCTTAGAAGGAAAATGCTCTCAAACACGCTCGACACAGATTCTGGTGTCTTTGCATCTTCTCACCACAGGGTGGCGGCATTGTTGTGTTATTAAATACTTTGTGATCTCTTTACCCCATAAAGATGATACTCGACGCCTCAGTATGTGTCAATAAACACGTGGTTTGAAGAAAGCCGCAGAGTTTCGTGAGGACGTGTCACCTCTCGTCTCCCATCAGAGGCTTGAAAAATGACAGAAAAGAGCTTCAGTGGTTTTTCCTATTAGGGATTTCAAGGGGTGAAGGGTTTAAATATGGGAGTTACAAAAGATTCTCATGCTGCTGCATAAACAAGGTGGTTCCTGTTCCTGTGCTGAAGGAGGAGAGCAGCCTGGGATCAGCAAAGCAGGACGATGGACTGAGAGGTCTCAGCCTTTGCTTAGAGATGATTAAAAGTAACTGTCTGCACAGGAAATATCATTTTATAAAACTACAGAGTAACTATTGTTTTACAATAAGAGCTATAACACATAAGGGAGCTTACAACAAGTTAAGTGTAACTACAGTTTTCTCTGTATTATCACTGGTTCTTAGTCTTTGAGTATAAAACTCTCATTAAGACGTTTGTGACTCATTGATTATCCCTTGTTGTTCTCTCTCCTCCTCGCCTCCTTCCAGACGTCTAAAGAGGACCTGTTGCAGGCAGACTTCGAGGGGGCTCTCAAGTTCTTCAGAGTCCAGCTCCCCAAACGATACAGAGCTGCAGAGAACGCCCGAAGGCTCATGGAGCAGGCCTGCAACATCAAGGTAAGAGATAGTTGTGCAAGTGTGTACAAACACACATAATAAAGGGTAAATCTTGTATCCACTGAGCCAGATGAGTCAGAGGTGCAGTTCTGGCTGCTGTATGTGGTTGTAGTCTGTGGTGTCTGGACCACAGCAGCACCCGTGGTTTGTGCACGCTGCACTCTCTCTCAGGTGGTCTGCAGCGGTTTATTGCACTCGCTGAGCTGTTTGTTCATGTGCCACAGCAGGGTCACTCGTGTTTCACGTGCAACACGCTCTGCACAGGTGAGCTGTGACTAAATGCTGTACTTTAAGGAACATTAGTGATTACGTTGTCTCATTCTGGGTATTGAAAGCCATGCTGAAAGGTAAAAAGCATCACTCACTGTGAAGCAGGAAGGAACTGAGCCCTCTGCTGTCAGAACGCGCTAATGAAGTGATGTGCAGTAGGAGGAAGTATCTGTGGAGCGCCAGGCCAGAGAGGTTAAACGCAGTGCAGTTTCTGTACCATATACTTTATTATCTTTGCTTCTTTATTGTGCATTTGTTTTCCTCTGCTCTGTGAATCCATCACCTACAACACGCTTTCTGTGGATGGCGGTCCAGGCCGTGTTTTCCCTAAAATACTTCCTGATGCCGTTATGATCCTCCTACTGACCTTAAAGCGGCCGCTGGCATTCAGGGAATTTGCCGAGTTCACCAGAGACCAAAGAACGGTACACGGTGTGTGCGATGCTGTGTGTACTTGTGTCAGCGGTTTGTGTTACGACAGAGGAAGGAAGGAGAAAAAAGATGGAGGAGATAATCCTCCACCCTCCTCTCTCCTGCGTCTCAGTGATACGTACTGTAATATTTGACATTTTCTTATCCCGAGCGAGTCGAGGCCACGTTGATAGGATGCTGTTCTCTTATGATTCTCGTGTGCTGCTGTGTTTGTCGTCATACAGGATTTCCTGTATTGCGGCTCAGGATTCTTCTGCATTGGTGGCTTTAGTAGTATTTTGGTTCTGTGCAGCCCCACAACCTGTTTACTTCAAAACTGGTGTAAATTTGAACAACTAAGCAGCATAGACGTGTTCTGTGGTGTGCAGTTAAACAGGCGTCAAGGGAAGGCTGTAAAAACTTTGACAGAGTGTCTGGTTCCCATCAGTGTCCTGATTCACACGTGAGGAGGAAGATGAGTTATCGCCAAAGAACGTGTGTGTGTGTGTGTGTGTGGGTGGCAAAGTGCTTCTACGCAGTGTACCAGGGGCACATTTGAATTTTCTTTCCGGAGTACCAGGGGCACGAGGAGTGTGTGTGTGTGTGTGTGTGTGTGTGTGTGTGGGGGGCAAGGTTGTTCTGGAGAAAAGTTGTCGTACCATAGGCACGAGGTGTTCTTCTGTCTGAAAGGATGGCGAGCAGAAACACTTGGCGCCTCGTTCTGCTCGTTCACCGTACCTCGCCGTTCTCTCGCTCCTCCGTTGTTTCTTGCGTTGGCGTATTTATCTTTCCCGCTCTTCCTCTCTCTCTCTTGTGAGAGAAACTGTACGAGCTGAGCACAGACTTTCTTTTTTTTGGCACGTTGCTCAAACAAAAACGCAAACTGTGGTCGTCTTCTTGCCGTCTTAGCCAATCAGAAACATGCAGAGTGTGGCTCATCGGATAATTGGCCACAAAGTAGCGCCGTGATCGAACGAGCGTTTGTGCTTAATTTGGAATGACTGACTCGTTATCATCAGGCTCGTTTCAAATGACGTGAAGAACGTGCTGAAGTTGTTCATGTCGGCCTCACAGCTGAGACTGAAGATGGAAACAAAGAATTCAGAGATTTAAAGCTTTCTGGGAGCAGTGAGGAACCAAAACATGAAAGTAGAGACTTGTATCTGTGATATAAACGTCATCTCGAGTTGTTACCTTTTCTTTGTTAACTTAAAAAACTTATTAAAACTTAACTAATTAACTTGTAAAATAGATTTCCTCCCCGTGGACAGAGGTGTGAGCAGATTAACACAAAAAGGGCCTCAAAGAAAACCGTAAGAGGAGAAAGGAGTCTTGCTTTTTGTCCGACTGCCCACTCACACCAGCCGACCCACAGGTCACATGTTACATAAGCTTGAATATGTCATGTTACACAACGCCACATGAAATCTAACCTTTGGTTATGCCAGTCGTGTCGCAAAACCAAACCTTCCACTAATCTCTGGACTTGTTAGGCTCTCGGCCGTCCCACACGCTCGCTGATGACTGTGACGGTCTGTTAGTCATATTTCTACCAGGCGAGATCAAAGATGAGAGAAGGAAGCAGCCACTGTCAACATATCTGATTTTCCACTCGTGAGAAGTTAAACCGTTTGATTTGTAAATGAAAGGTCGTTGGACCTAGTAGCCATCTTTGTGGGGAAGACATGCTAGCACCGCTTTAGCTAATGGGCAGAACGGCCCCCCCAGCACTTCTTTCTCTTCACTCCCCCCTTCTACATATTTTCTGCCGACGTTTAAATCGGATCAACCAAATTCTATAAGCTGCTTAAAACGGGGAAAGAATTTGCCGGCACCTCGGCTTGATGAACACGACGGGGTAGCAGGGTGGCTCAGCCTTTCTGGGGATCAGGAATTTAAATTTCTAGGCTTCTTAAACCTTCATCGGAGCGCCGCTGGAGTTATTAAGAAAGCAAAACTTTAATGAACTGAGAGGAAGAGAGAAGGCTGTGTTTGTGTTTATAGAGAGCCACAGCTGTAGCTTGTCAAAGAAAGGATGCATTATTATTACATTATTATTACATTATTACCATATTAAAGGGGTTTGGAGGATCTCGAGCCGTCCGTCGCTGCCTCAGGTTTGTCTCGGTGAATAGTAAATGTAGCAGTGCACTGGAGCGTGTGCACCTGAAGGTCAGTGGTTAGTGTTTGAATCCTTTAGCACAGCTGCTGCAGTGTTCAGGAAACGATCTCCAGGCTCGTTGAAGGACCGTCAGAGCTCTTCTTTGGATGCTGGTCGCCTTTTTGTTCTGTTCTCTGTCAGGACGGTCCCACACTGCTTCAGTCATGCTGATGTCTGGGGAGGCCCATCCATGACGGGCAGCTTTCCACTGTGGCTGAAGCGCAGAAAAGCATGACAGAGCCTGTGGTTGTATGCTTGATTAACTAATGATCAAGGACTGGGCTGAAAACGAGTTATTGTGCAAAGACAAACAGTCCAGACTGTGAGGTTTTAACCTCCTGGGTGGATCACAAAGACTAACTTT